GGTGTGTGGTCTGTGTGTGTGTGGTGTGTGTGAGGTGTGTGTGATGTTTCTGTTAAATGTCAGTTTGTTAAATGACCCAAACCAACCACACCTGGAGTTTTTCTCCCATCTGATCCGTCGTTGTTGTTGATTCATTCATTCATGAGAAGCTTTTATTATCCACCTGACGGAGAGTTAATCTGATGATTAATGTTTTATTTTATCCACTCAGTCACTCTAATCCTAATCTAACCCAAAGTTATGAACAGCAGCTGCTCATCTCTCATTACGGCTCAAATAAAAATATTCTATAACATCTGAAAAAGAAAAAAAACAAAAAAAGATGATTTTATGTTTAATTTATGACTTAATGTGAAAAAATGTTTAAATGAATTTAAGAATGAAAAAACTAAACAACCCAAACATGATAAAAAGTTCATGTTTGAATTTTGTATTGATGAAACAATAAACTCAGATTACTGAGTATTTAGAAATAACTGATCTTTAATGTTTATGTTCTTAATGACTCACAATAATAATACATATAATGATAATGTTTCTTTAGCTGCACTGAGGGACAGAAGTGAAGATTAATGACCGTTTAAAGTCTGTTGGTGTTTAATCTGTCATTAAACACAGAGAGAATATTATTTATGAGGCAAAGCGTCACGTTTCTGAGGCGAATTTGAAGAATGTGACGTTCTGTTTCTGTGAAATGTTTGTTTGGATGAGGCTTTTTGCACGACAGCCAGCATGAAGACAGATGGATAATCTCCTCCAGAGGAATGCTGCAGCCTGCAGCCGGCTCTGCAGGGCGCGCTCCGACTGAGATATTCATCTGAGGGTTGGGCTTCAGAGCGTCGCCGTGGAAACCCAGATAACTCAGAGCCTGTTCCTGGAAATCATTTCAGGACAAACTGGATTTGAACTAAATTAAGTTTAAAAGATGTTCTGGTTCCTGCATATCCTGTTAATTAATTCATCCCTTCTGTGCAGGATTTAACTGGATGGTTGGAGTCATGAAGAAGATCATTGCAGAGGCCACCCAGATGAAGAATGAGTCCAGGATGCCACCGCTGATCGAGTTCTTTGGACCAGAAGTCCTGAAGGTGTTAAAATGTTTAAACTTTTATCAGTTGTACACATCTGTTTGTGGTCACATGAGAGACACCGAGCTTCTTATCAGAGCAACCAGACGGCTGTCTCAGGTCAGAGCAGGAGGTGAAAGGTCAAACTGTGGATTGTTGTCTGGTGTGAAGCTGGTAACTGTGTCCAGACTTTAAATGATCCAGACAGTTTCTGTCACCTGCTGCAGAGAAAACAAACTCATCAGACTGAAGATCACACAGGATGTACAGACAAAGTCAAACTACTGACCCTGCTGCTCAAATAATCAAATCATCACTGAAGTTAAAGTACCTGAATATGTGCTTTTAGAAATATTACATTATGTCTGGTTTCCTCTGGACCTGCAAACTAATGTTGGAGAAAACAAACATCTGATGGATGGAAAATCTGAAGGTTCTTCCTCTATGAGGCCCAGAGAAAAGTTGAAGAGAAAAAACTAAAACAAGCTAATCTATAACATGGTGACTTCTTAAAAAGAGAATAAAGCTCAGTCTGAACTCTCAGAAATCGGTTCAGATATGGTTCCTGATCGAAGAGGAAACAGGACCGGAAAACCTTCTGAATGTTAATTTTATTTTCCAGGCTGCGGTTGAAGCTCCGTCTCCCAGGTTCCTGGGAACTCACCTTCATCCAGACATCATGCCGTCCTCCTTCAGCGAGAAGAAAACTAAGGTACATCCTGAACCTGCTGCAAACAACAACAGTTGGATCTTCTCTGTATAAGTACAACAGGAGGAAACCAGAGTCTCCCAGCCGGCTGCAGGTCTAACCATCAGGTTGTTTCCCAGACGGTGGTGGTGTTCAGGAACCCAAAGGACACCTTGGTCTCCTACTATCATTTCTGCAACAACAACCCGGTTCTGCCGTCTGTGCAGTGGGATTCCTTCTTCTCCCAGTTCATGAAAGGAGACGGTGAGTGGGAACATCAGGCTGTAGAGAGCGAAGACGTTCCTGAAGGAGGAACATGAGCAGAAGAAACTAAATGTGTTTTATGTTGTAGAAAGTACACTGCTCAAAAAAAATAAAGGGAACACTCAAATAACACATCCTAGATCTGAATGAATGAAATATTCTCATTGAATACTTTGGTCTGTACAAAGTTGAATGTGCTGACAGCAAAATCACACAAAAATCATCAATGGAAATCAAATTTATTAACCAATGGAGGCCTGGATTTGGAGCCACACACAAAATTAAAGTGAAATGTTCCCTTTATTTTTTTGAGCAGTATATAAAACCTTTGGCACCAATACAGGAGGTCTGGTGTCTGCAGCCTGCGGCTCTCTGGACTTTCTACAGTGGATTTTAAAAACTGACTAATAATGAAAATACAACTGAAGTTTTAAAAATAAATGTCCAAAGCAGGTTTTAGGCATTTTTCAGTTTTTTCATGGATCATTCAATCTAATTTCCACAACAGAACGACAGTAAAAGTACCATTTTTATTTAGATCTGTTTGTCTTAGGCTGGAAACTTTGTGCAGATATAAATCCCTACAGTAAATAATGTTTTATATAAACCAGCAGTCAGAGGTTTGGACTCAACTTCCTGCTGAGTTAAATTAGGAGGCGTTTATAGAAAATGTTCTTCCAGAGACAAAATCTGCTGTTTACTGAGCAACTGATATAAAATGACTTCAGATCCTCATTTTCTGTTGAACAGGTTTGTTCTTCATTCAGTGACAAAATACCCAGAGTGACTGAAGTAAAAGCAGTTTTACTGTGAAATGATAGAGTAAAAAGTTTAGTGCAGTAAGATAGAAACATGTTACTGTCCAGCTTTACTTAATGATCTTTGCAGAAACACATTTTATATGTTTCCATGTAAATGAATGATTTATATTACAGATTCTTACAGCCTGAACTTCACCAGATGAGCTCTGCTGTTTATTAAAGCTGCTAATAAACAGTAAATACAGCCGAGTCAGCAGGATTACTGTGGAGAGTTCTGGTCCATTTTATGGCATCAAGATAATCTAATCAACTGTTCAAACATCTGTCTGATGATTAGATGGTTTCTCTGGTTGTCAGGTCATATAACCAGTTATAAATTATGCCTGTGTTACACATAAACCATGAATAACTGATATTTGTGTGCAGTTGGCTGGGGCTCGTACTTTGACCACGCCTTGGCCTGGAACCAGAGGATGGACGACCCCAACGTCCTGGTGGTGACCTTTGAGGACCTGAAGCAGGTCAGGCCTCTGGTTCCTCAACCTCTCAGTTCGGTGGCTGAAGTGGAAATCTGCTCTCAGACCATGTTTTCTGCCCTGCAGGACCTCAGCACAGGGATCCAGCAGATCTGCAGCTTCATCGGCTTCAGCCTGACGGAGGCTCAGGTGCAGCAGGTGGCAGCAGCCAGCACCTTTAACGCCATGAAGGAGAGTTCAGCCAATTCCCACGGCAACATGGGAAACGTCATCTTCAGGAAAGGTCACCAACAATGACCATGTTTTATCTTCCAACAGTTCTAGGAGTAAAATGAGTTATTTCCCCTCTAAAATGATAAACTCAACCTCCTCCCTGTGCAGGTGAGGTTGGAGACTGGAGGAACCATTTCAGTCCAGAACAGAGCCGAGAAATGGACGAAGTTTTCAACAAGCAGCTGGCAGGAACGAAGCTGGGGGCAAAGCTGGACTACCAGCGACACTGTCAGTAGGAAAGAGAAGGAGGAGAGAGAGGATGGAGGAGAGAGAGAGGATGGAGGAGAGAGAGAGGATGGAGGAGAGAGAGAGGATGGAGGAGAGAGAGAAAGGATGGAGGAGAGAGAGAGGATGGAGGAGAGAGAAAGGATGGAGGAGAGAGAAAGGATGGAGGAGAGAGAGAGAGAAAGGATGGAGGAGAGAGAGAGAGAAAGGATGGAGGAGGAAAGATGAATCAACACCTTCAGTCTGATCACAGGTGGAGCATCAGTTCTGCCTGACAGACTGAGCTCAGGGCAAAACTCCCACAGCTCCACAGAAGAAGGAAAATGAAATAATTTGGTTGTGATAAATTTTATTTCACTGAAGATAACTTATGATAGACTGAAATAAATGAAATATGATGTGATCAGCAGTGAAGGACCAACAAAAATACATATCAGGTAAAATAAATTTAATAGAAATGTTATAGAACTGAAATGTATTTGATTCATCAAAACATTTATTAATTTTGTCATTTTAGAACCTTTAAATGTTAAGATTTTGTTGGATTTTTTTCTGTTTTTTATTTTTATGTTTCTTGGATATTTCCCATTATAGGATCAAATTTAAATCATTGTGAAAATACTTTAAATAAAATTACACTTAAAAAAGTAACACTTGATATTCCTGATATTTTTATCAGCAATATCCATAATCCAAAAGACAGATTTTTGTTCATAAATAGAATATTAACAGAACTGTGCCTCATTTATATCTGGCAGAAAATCTGGACTGAATTCATTTTGTACACTTTAAACACCAAGACGGCTGCATCAGGAGAGGTTTCAGCCTACTGGGGGAAACGCTGTCTGAAGGGAAGGTCCAGAATGAGGCAAGAAAAATGTAAAATTACACGAAGCATTTATTTCACAGCAGTTAGTCTAAAAGCTAAATCTCTCCAAAGGTCGTGGAACAGCAGGAGCCTCATGTCTAAAGCGGCGGCGCCACATTTTACACACAAGTCAGGATGTATAAAAAATTAACTTTGCGTCAAAGTTTGTGTAATCCTACACAAACTTTTTCTGTGAACAATATCAAACTACAAAGCATCAAAATTCACCTAAATACATTGAAATCTGACGACATTCAGTTATTTAGATCAAGAAGCATCAAACCGATGATTTTTTCCCCATGACTTTAATATTTTATTGTTTAAAGTAAATGGTGAAACTGAACAGCATTTATCCTGACAATGACCCAACACACAATAAAGAAACTAAAGGAAGGTAAAACTTCACTCTGACGTAAATAATAACTTCCTCAGTTTGTCTCATGAAGATGTAACTCATCGTCTGAAAGCATCTGAGGCTCGTTTCATTCTGACTGGAGAGAAAACAGGCTGATCAGCAGATGGATCCACCAGGTTTGGTTCTGATCAGGAGACGATCAGCTGATCCAGGTGAGCCGCTACCTGAGGAGCTTTGGCTCTGATGGAGGATTGATCACAGATCAGATCCATCTGATGGTCGATCAGCGTTTAGATTCATCCCGGAGCTCTGAGCAGAACTTAGAGCGGTACCAGCGGTACCGGTCCAGCTGCAGCCGTCCTCCAGTGGAGCCGCCCGCTTTGTGAAAGCGCCTTATGGACAGAAAGCGTCTCTGGCGACAGGGCGGACCAGCAGCTGCTCTATTTCTCACAAATTGGGATTTATAAAGGAAAGGCGCGCGGCTTTATGCATCCAGATTTTTTTGTGTGCCGCACTTTTCTAAAATTGTCCGTAGGCCAAGTTTTAGTGTGAAAACTGCAAACTCTTTTATACATAAGGCCCCTGAAGATTCTGCTGCCTCTCTGGGAGGAAGCAGATCTTTCACAGCAGGTAGACTGTTTATTTTTTCCAACATTATCTTTACTGGTTTTACAACAATGCTTTCAATAATATACAGGACATAACTGTGCTCTCATATCAAAGGAAAAGGTAGTGAAATTATTGTCCAGCATTCAACTTGTCTTTCCTTGCCAGTCAAGACATTATGAGATCTCTTAGAGCAGCACTTACTACATAGAGTATGAGAAAATTAAAATAACTCCCCGAACCCCAAACGCCCTGACAACCCTGAGAAAAAACAACAATTACGTTAACAACGGTTTCTCTATTTTCAGGAGTTAGCGTAAATTATTTTAGTATTGTATGTGGTTCAGAAAATACAAACTTGAATGTGTATTTCAAAGTAAAGAAGTCAAGTATGCAAATAAAGGAGCTTATCTTAGGACGCTGCACTGCAGGGGACCAGCTATCCCTCATCCGCCCCTCACATCCATGCTCACCACATATTACATAAAAGGGCCCCAATATGTTGAAATAGTGATAGTTTCCCTTTTATAATGTAAATAATATTTCATCGGTAATGTTGTGGACATTTCATTAATCCAGGTAATGAATTTCGGCTTACTGCTACTCTTCCATGAAAATGATACGACTCTTTTTGCAAGTAGTAAACATAAATCCACGGCAGGAATTATTTTTCTTGACATATAATGTCAATCAGGATATAAACCTAGAATGAACAATTTGGGGTCTAAAGCTAGTTTTATATCTAATATAGCCTCTAGAGCAGGGGTGTCAAACTCCAGTCCTCTAGGGCCGCTGTCCTGCAACTTTTAGATGTGCCTCTGCTGCACCACACCTGAATAGAATAATTAGGTCATTAGCAGGGCTCTGGAGAACGTATAAGAGGAGGTAATTAAGCTGCCTCATTCCAGTGTTTTATACCTGTGGCATATCTAAACACTGCAGGACGTCGGCCCTTGAGGACTGGAGTTTGACACCTGTGCTCTAGAGCTTGTTTAATCTCCCTCCAGAATTGTTGAACTTTCTTGCATTTCCAGACACAATGGAAGAACGTTCCCTTCTCTTCTCCACATCTAATACACAGGTCTGGGATGGCACCGTTATACTTATTAAGCTTTTCTGGCGTCACATATGTTGTCATTAGCCGATTATACTGCAGGGCGTTGAGGCGGGTGTTGGTAGTTTGTGCTTCAGCACACGCCTTCTCCCTCCAGGCCTCCATAAAGAGACTCAGAGGATCCCTCCACTAACGTACAAAAGTGTTAGACGTAGCCTCAGTCGTCTATTCTATGAAAATATGTTTTATTGCCAAGAATAAATTGGCAGGAGGCGGCAGTGGGATGTTCTGGGACAAATACAAAAGTTTGGGCATCATGTTGGATTTAAGAACATCGATTTGTGCTACAAGTGACGAGGGCAGGTTGTTCCATCTGTCCACAGAGGCAGGAACTGAGTCTATCATGGGGGTATAGTGAACTGCAACAATGTCATTTATACATAGTACTGTCCCAATACGTAAAACAGTTTACCTTTTAGAATTGTAAAGGATTCCCGACAGTTTCTTTCTTCTGAATTAAGTAACATTGATGGAGACTTGTCTTCATGTACTTTATATCCTGATGTTCTTCCAAATGTGTTTATTAGATCTAACTAGGCTGGAATACAGTTTTCAGTTTTTCCAAAAAAAGAATGACATCGTCAGCAAATAAAGCGATTCGATGTTCCTGTTGGCCGATTGTCGAACCTGTTATGTTTTATGAAACCGCACCGCAACGGCAAACGGTTCTATTGCTAGAATGAATAATAAAGCGGAGCGGGGGCAGCCCTGCCTGCAACCGCGCGTAATTTTGAATGACTTAGATATACCTCCATTTGTTACTATTTCAGCATAAGGCTCATTGTATAAAAGTTAAACCCACCAACAGAAATTGTCCCCACAGCCAAATCTTCTCAATATCTCAATAAATAGGGCCATTCAACTCCATCAAAGGCCTTTTCAGCATCCAGTGATAACGAAGCCGTGTCTGTTTTTTCTTCCATATAATAAATAATATCCAGAACTTGTCTCACATTATGAAATCCCCGTCTTCTGGGTAATATTCTCTCCAAGCTCTGCGAGCCAAAATGTTACATAGAATCTTTAAATCGACTTTAAGACTTTGGAGGCTATCTAAGAAAACATTTTGCTCTTGTTCCTTTTGCGTTATGTCTGAGCTGTATAATTTTTTTAAAAAAGACCTTAAAAATGTCGGATTTCTAATGGATCGGTAATAATCTGCCCCTCATTATTTTCGGCTGAAGTAATATTTTTCTCATTTTGTAACTGTCGTAGTCACCAGGCTAATAATTTCCCTGACTTTTCCCCTTGATCATAGAACGACTGCTTAAGACGTAGAAGTTGTGAGGCGGCTTTAGAGGCAGAAAGTTCGTCATGCTGTGTTTAGTAGTGTGTAGACTGTTTAACATGAAATCACTACAGACTGGAGGAAGTGGTGCTTTGCAACTGTGACATCTAATTGTCTCACAAATCAAATGGACACTGGCTGAGTGAATTTTTGAATGTAATAAATCTGCAACGAGTCAGAGAGAGAGGCTCATACCACACATTTCTGGGTTGATCCATTTTTTACCATGTTTTCTTTGTGCGGAAAACATGGTAAAAATCCATGTTAAAGTTTTCCCCAATGGGCCGATGGAGCCTCAAAAATCTAATTAAAATCCTTGAACTCATTCATGGTAGATCCTGTCAAAGGCCTTGGATCCACAAAAAGAAAAGAACAGCATGAAGCAGCAACACTGAGAAAATCCAAAATGTAAAACTCCAAACCTTTGGCCTGCGGGTTGGCCTCATCAGGGTTTGTGATTTTATCTCTGCTCATTTTCACTCAAGGTTTAAATTATTGTACTCTTATTTAAATGTGGGGAATCTGACGACACAGGGAAATAAACTGCTAATCATAATGTTGGCGTAATCACTAAAACCAGGAAGATAGAGAACATCACCAGTTCTCCTCCCTGTAGCTCAGAGGACAGACTTTTAAATACTGTTAGTTTATAAATCACTGAACAGTTTAGCACCACAACACATTAAACATCTGCTGTTGTACCAACACTCCAGAGCTCTCAGGTTCTGGTTCTGGTTCTGCATCAGAACCAAACGAGGAGAAGCAGCATTCAGCTTCTATGCATCACAAATCTGGAACAAACTTCCAGAAAACTGTAAAACAGCTGAAACACTGACGTCCTGTAAATCAACCCACCTGTTTG